AAATAAATGAAAAATGTTGTATTGTTCATACATATGCGTACCGAACCGAAAGCACTGTATGAACGGTTCAATACCGATACGAGTATCGTTGCACCCCTAATATATAAGTGACCAAAACACAGAGTTTTGCTCTTTTTAATCAATGTTCCTGCTATTGTAGTCTTACAAACCAAAGTCAGTCGTCCTGGATCCTGACACGAGCCTATAAAAGCTACGACTGCACTGGGTACCACAACAACCTCACTGTCAGGCAACAAACGCCTGTTTAAACGGCGCCTTCCACAAAACACGGTCACATTTCCTGTTTTAATCACCAAAGCAGCGTGGTTGCTCACACACACATATACCAACATTTGGATTCTGGACTAACGTGTTTAACGAGTTGTTGTTTTTGTGCGTCTCTGTCTGCAGAATGGGATCACTCCACTGCATGTGGCCTCTAAGCGTGGCAACACAAACATGGTTCGCCTGTTGTTAGACCGTGGCTCTCAGATTGATGCTAAAACGAGGGTGAGTAGCTCAAACGCACACATCTAATGTAACCTGAGCTTTGGAGTTAGTTATCTTTAAACCACACTCGCCCACTCCCACAGTGGTGCAACTGTTACATCCACAGTAGTAACTAATGGTCGCGTGCATTGCTAACAACAGATATGATGGGGGGTTGTTTTTAGTTCATTCTACCTGTAGGTCCGTCACTGGCATCATGATCTGTTATTTAATAAACTGCTGCTCTGTAAAGTGCAAATGAAAGTTTTATGATATTCTTAATGCTTTAAATTGTGTATTTACTCCAGTACAGATATTCAAACCAATAAAATGATGGAACTGAGGACTTTATTTTAGTAATGTGATGCCATTTTTCAGAGAAAATGTTACCACTGTGTTAGTCCACTTCGGTTTTTGACTTGTTGGGGCGACCGTGGCTCAGGGGGTTGGGAATCGCATCTGTAACCGGAAGGTCGCCGGTTCGATCCCTGGGCTCTCTTTCCTGGTCGTTGTGTCCTTGGGCAAGACACTTTACCCTACTTGCCTACTGGTGTTGGCCAGAGGGGCCGATGGCGCGATATGGCAGCCTCGCTTCTGTCAGTCTGCCCCAGGGCAGCTGTGGCTACAACTGTACCTCCACCAGTGTGTGAATGTGAGAGTGAATGAATAGTGGTATTGTAAAGCGCTTTGGGTGCCTAGAAAAGCGATCCAATCCATTATTGTTGTACATTAATGTAATGATATTACTTTAATAGCTCAGGGATAATGGATCCTGACATCGTCCCTCACATGCAGAGATATCTCTGTGTTATCTAAATGACTTGATGATATATATGATAAGCACTGAAACGAATCTGTTACTGTTGTTGTTGCCCATCAGTCACCCCGTGTGTCCTTAAAGAAAAACATCTGCTTGACTTGTTTTTGTCTGTGTTTCTTGCATCCTTGTAGCCTGTGTTCATACATGACTCAAAATGTAAAATGAATAGATCCTTAGTTTGACTGTTCCAATATCTGGTATGTTTTTGTTTTTGAAATAAACATCAGGATGAATTGATCAGGACTGTTTCTGTTATGTCCTGTTATGAAAAGTTAAGCCATCGTTGTCCTGCAGCATCCAGAGTCGATACATATTTACTGTCTTTGTTTGGTAGGACGGCCTGACTCCGCTTCACTGTGCTGCTCGGAGCGGACACGATACGGCTGTAGAGCTGCTGCTGGAGAGAGGAGCACCTTTACTGGCCAGGACCAAGGTCTCACACTCACCATCTAAAGTCATGGTTGTGTCCTGTGTAACGTGTCACTGTGGAGCTAAGGGCTCGTGATGTCTGCTGGTGACCAGCAGGAGCTTTTTCTGTGAGGTGGGAGGAAGGAGCGGTCAAAGGATAAACAAGCCCACGAGTTGTAGGGTTTTGGCACTTTCTGCATATAAAATGATGAGTTTGAGGGTTTATTTTGTATCAATCAGAGATAAAAAGAAACGCTGCAGCTGTTTATTTACACTTCCAGCAAACATTACCATTCATGCATTTCACCTGCAGCTCTCCTCTGCTGAACCAACTGTCCCCTCCCACAGAACGGGCTGTCCCCTCTGCACATGGCAGCACAAGGTGACCACATTGAATGCGTCAAACACCTTCTACAGCACAAGGCTCCCGTTGATGACGTCACGTTGGACTACCTGACAGCGCTGCATGTGGCGGCTCACTGCGGTCACTACAGAGTCACCAAACTGCTGCTGGACAAACGGGCCAACCCTAACGCCAGGGCACTGGTAGGTCACGAAGACAACATGGATGCATGAATGGAAAAAGGATCATAATCTGTCTACATGCACCTGGAATTCCTCTGAGGTTCACTGTGTTCGCTCCACAGAATGGCTTCACGCCGCTGCACATCGCCTGTAAGAAGAACCGCGTGAAGGTGATGGAGCTGCTGGTTAAATATGGAGCTTCCATCCAGGCCATTACAGAGGTACACATCGGAGTAATCCGACTGCAGAAATGCCTTTATTATTGCTCTTTATACGTTTAAAATATTACTATTGAAACAAATCTGTGACTTTGCATACATGATACTTGAATTTGGTTACATGTAGCAAAGGTAGCAATCTAAAGTTACATCATGCTAACAGCAGCATGCTAACAGCAACATCCCACGGGTATAACTGGAGTCATAAAGTGATAAACCCACTCAGTAGTACTCATGGTAATGTAATAACATCAGGCCGAGTAGATCCTCTTGGTGTAGTCAATAGAATTAAAGGAGGCTTATTGTTATTGAACAATGTCACATATTAACATCTCTATAGACCAGGGTGGGGGAGCTGCAGGTTTAGACGTGTCCAGCTGATTTACATGACCTCCTCAACATGTGTTGAAGTTCTCCAGAGGCTGGTAACGACCTCATCATGTGAGTCAGGACTGTTGACCCACGGTGAGATGTAAAACCTGCAGGTCCCCTGCTATAGACAGTACTGCTGGACATAATTACAGATAGAGCAATAAGCTGATTTCTAATTGAAAAATATTGATGGTAAATTGGTCATAAAGACCAGAATTAAAGGTTTTATTGTATCAGTTTTCTTCTTCTTCTATTGTCCATTATGACCACCTGCAGTTGTAGCATTTAATGGCTGCATACCCCACAGACGTAGCGCACTATATTATTCACTGATTCATCTGATGTGCGTTTCCTTCTGTCCGATCGTCTCTGTTGTGCTTTCTCCCGTGTTCAGTCGGGTCTGACGCCCATCCACGTAGCAGCCTTCATGGGTCACCTGAACATCGTCCTGCTCCTGCTGCAGAACGGGGCCTCGGCTGACGTCAGCAATATTGTGAGTGATGTGAAACGGGGCAGCAAAAGTGACACAAACTGCAGCCATTTGTTAACTGAAATGAACACAGGTTGAGGTTTTCAGAATGTGCGCTGACTCGTCTGAGCCATATGTTGTTGTTTGCACAGCGTGGAGAAACGGCCTTACACATGGCAGCCCGGGCAGGTCAGGTGGAGGTTGTCAGATGTCTCCTGAGGAATGGAGCAATGGTAGATGCTCGGGCACGTGTAAGACTGCTGCAATCACATTTGCACACGTGATAAAGAATCTTTAGCGTTTTCATCCTGATGGTCACTGAGCTCTTTTTCTGCTGCGTGTCCTGTTTAGGAGGAGCAGACGCCCCTTCACATTGCATCCCGCCTGGGGAAAACTGAGATTGTGCAGCTGCTGTTGCAGCACATGGCCCATCCTGATGCTGCCACAACCAATGGCTACACCCCCCTCCACATTTCTGCCAGGGAGGGGCAGGTGGAGACTGCCTCGGTGCTGCTAGAGGCAGGGGCTTCACACTCACTAGCCACCAAGGTGAGTGTGAGAGAAGACTTTGGATCTTCATGGTGTGATTTAGTGCACGGAGCAGTGGAACGAACATGTTTCAGTTCATGTAAAGCTCTAATTTCTTATTTTCAACATGGCAGCTGCAAAAAGTGAAAACATGAAAACATTCAGGGTTCCTGTCCCGCAGAAATCACCTGAAGTTCACTTTGTTCCTTCTGTAAGCTGTTTGTGTGACGCCTGTCGATGCATTCACTGTGAATCACTCATTCATATACAGAAATACAGAGAACCATGAGCTGTGTGTGTCGTGAGTCTACTGGAAGGAGCTGTGTATGTGACAGCTATATAATGTAATAAATCAAATGCAGCGTTTTAAAATATCAACTCAGGCTCTCGAAAGTCAACAAAAAGAATAAATTAAATAATGTAGACGAATATATCACTGAGAAATCACCAAGAACAAAACAATGAAACCATCAGACAAACAAATACAGCTTTTTTATTGCACTTATAATAAAGAGCCGAATCAAAAGAGCTTTAGTTTGGCACCAAGTCGTGACAATTTGCCTCCTTGGTTCATAATTGTCTTTGTCTCCACACCACATATGTTAGCTGACATTAATGTTTCAAACCATTGCATCTAGCCTTTAAAAATCAGCAGGTATATGCACACATCAGTGTGTAGCCTGTAAACATGACCGGCCTACATTTCTGAACGTTGACTCTTATGTCTTGACCCCATGTAGTCCTCTGCTGAAGGCTGGGATTGAGAGGTTACTATAATACTGCATCTCCTGGTCTGTCTGTGGGATTCTTCTGATCAATGATTGATGAGGCAGTAAAGCTGCTACGTCCCTCTGAATTGTTCATGAAGTCTGAACACAGCTGAGTGATTTATCGCCATGACTGTTTAACAGGCTGTGCAGTCAGGATCTTTACTTTGTACCCCATCCCAGACAGACCAACCTCTTAATCTATTCATATAATGAGAAGAGACAAAGCATTGTGTGAGGCTGCATTTGTCAGGCCTCAGTGCTTTTGCTCTCTCCTAGACTTCTCTCTGGGGAGTGAGGGGTGTGGCTGTCGCTGTTACAGTGTAACGCAATTATAGCACCATCCTTATAAACATCAAATTGTGCATAATTGTCCATATTTTCTCATAATATCAGTATTTTCCACAATGCAATGTAAGTAAACAAGTTTATTTTTTTGTGTACCTATTAAATTGATTTCTGCCTTTAAGAGACAAAAGGCTGTTCTCTCCATGAACAGGCCTGCATCATAAACAAGCTGGTTCAGTGTGGTCCTTACAGCTAAAGTGCCCCCTCTGCTGGCCTTTAAATAAAATGGACGTTCCCTGTGGGTTACCTGCAGTTGCATCAGCTTGCTACTATGAACTGTTTATAGCATTACACAGATTTTGGCAGTAACTGAAGGTCTTTTCCTCTTATATTTTATACTGTACTTAAATACAAAGCTTAAATAATACTTCGACAATAGTAGTAGTAGTATGAGAAAGTAAATAAAAAAGAAATAATACAAAAAGTAACAACATTTCTGTTGACTCACAATACTTAATATGTTCTAACAATATTTACAGTAATACTTTACATCTGGCAAGGTTTTAATTCGTGCAACCCACAAACTGAACTCTGCTGCTCAACATACAAACTGAACTCTGCTGCTCAACATACAAACTGAACTCTGCTGCTCAACATACAAACT